CATTATACAAACTTACAAAACTTTATATAGATATACTAAGAAGATGTGTATGCAGACATATTTGGTGAAAATTGAAAAAATGCTCCTTCAAAAAACACACCTTGATTCTCTCCATCATAACAGGGACATGGCGGCCACATGGTCCATGACCACCTAACTTTCCCGACAGTCTGGTTGTGTTGCGATAGTCAGAGCCTTCAGGTTGTGGTCTTGGAGTTCCAGAAGAGCTTGGTGTGGCATGAAATAACCGTGGTCCAAACGGAGAGGTGTACGCTGGGAGTAGCCTCTGAGGAGTCCTGGGAGAAGGGCTAGAACCACTGTCACTAGGGGAAGAGCCGCTGTCACTAGGGGAAGAGCTGCTGTCACTAGGGCTCGAGTCAATAGAACGATCTCTGGTTATGTCTGAAAAATAGAAGAAAAAACAAAACATTTTGAATTTTCAAAACATTCTTCTTGGCAGGTGTGTGCTAAATTTGAACCGTAGTAGGAAATTAACAAAGAAGTGACATAAGTCAAGCTGGTTTTACTATCTCAGCACCGCCTGAAATGATGGGAGAAGTTAAGCCTCTTTAAATGTAGAATATTATACTTATTATCCCTCCATCTAAACTTCTGAAGCTTTGAAAAACAAAACATTTACCAAGATTAAAAGCATTGTCTTCTTGAAACTGTTTTTTTCACCATCAAGCTGGACTCAAACCATGAAAATGAAAATCAAGGCTTTTGTACAAATGCTTCAGTATTTTTCGCTACATCACCAGCTTTTTCTGTATCTCTTTCTCTTTCTGTATCAACATGCACATTCGCACAATTAGCCAGAACCAAAGAGAACTTTCATTGAATTACTGTGTGATCTATCCTCTTGTCCATCTGACCATGCTTTCATATTCATAACTGTCCTCGGGAAAAGAGAGATCACTGAAACAAACTGACAGGAGGAATCATAGAAATGGGGTCAGGTTGAGTGGAGACTATTGTGCATGAGAAAGAAAGGGAAAACTAATAATGAAGATGGATTTAAATACTGGAATTCCGCTTTTCAGTTCCATTGCTTATCCTTAATTCATTTGCGATCTTGGATTATTTACCATAAAACAAAGCATGTGCGGTGATAGCCCTAAATGCCAAATTAACCACTTTCTCTATAGCGCAAATTGAGGGAACAGAACCCTTGTTTGCTCCATTAACTGGGCCATTGCCACGGTGACCTCAATCCACATTCTGATTGGCCATTATAACACACGAGTGGCTAAGCTCGGTGCCAGCCACAAACACACACTCCCTCACACACATACACAAACTCGCTCTGCTGGGAAGGAGACATTGCCTTCTAATTTACTGCTTTCTGTTCTGCACCTCCTCCGATTTCTTACTCCCTCAAAATGACCCTCTAAACTGTTATTGTATCCCCTCTGCAGCCCTGCTTAAAACGTGAACATACATGTATATATCTCTACTTTGTCTCACTTTTAGTGGTGACACTAAGCTCCCTTCTCTCGCCACCACGTTCTTTCCCCCCCCCCCGCACAGTATATGTTCTCTGCTGCCCTGCCTGTGGTTGGTGGCAGATGCAATCATCAGCACTTAGCCGTTCGGACTGATTGTTGCCCAATAATATGCTCTGGGTGAGTTTGTGTGTGAGCTGAGTCAACAACAGAGCGACAAAGACGTTCCAGTAATCACAAAGATGCACAGTTAAGCGTGCACAAAACTGCTGCTCTACACTTACATCTAGAGCAAAGTCTAATAATTTAATCAGTAGAGTACACATGACTTATTGGATATATATCTAAATATTGGACATATTCATAAACACTGTATCGTTCTATTTTATATACTATGGATGCAATGGAATTGCATGTAGTTCTGCACACAGTTGGAGCTACTGTTTTGCTAAGATGCTAAACGAGCTTGTAACATTATTTCTGCAAGCCTCACTGTTGGTCTTGATTTCTTAGCTGCAGATTCACTGCCGTAGTCTGCAGATGTCTTCCCCCTTCCTGGCCCGGCCTGCAAGTGTTCTCTGGCAGGGATGCAGCATGGTTGAGCACCCGGCTTGCCGTAAGAGGAGTAGGCCGCAGCAAGCTGAGCAGACTAAAGCTGCGTCACAGAGGCTGCAGCGCAGGCACAGGCCTTTCAGTAAGGGCTGCCTCTATCCTATCTACTGCTCAGATTTGGCCTTAAAGAATAGCCCTATATGCCCTTCTTTGTTTCCTCCACAATATCTCACCTCTTGAGTCATAATCAATCTACTGATATCTCCTCTTTCATCAAGTATGTGCCAAAATAACAAGTTGTAACTAGAGCATCCAACAATTCTCTCCTCCCTCTCCTCCCAAGATTCAGGCCGAGAAACCTTAAAATAATTCCAAGCCTAAGAAAAGATCAGGGCAATGATGATGTCAAAGCTGGAACACTTAAATAGCAAACCCTTGTATCAGGCGGAGAGGCAGAGAGTTTCCATATTAGCTATTTAGGTCATCAATTATAACTGTCAGACGTTTCCAAGAGTACACTGTTCTCACGCAAACTAAATCCATCTCAAAACCAAGACTCCTACCCAATCATTATTGCCTGCCTCTAATCAAAGAGACATATCAAAAATGTACCCTCCCAATCACTCATCTGCACTTCCACAAAATTAACTTCTCCTATCGCTCTCTCTCTCTATTCGCATTTTGAATTATGTTACAACTTTACCAGCAAAAATGAGCAATAACAGACAATATTTGTGAGAGATGCTCTTGTGCTTTCCTACAGTGCTGTACTAAGGAACACAGGAACATGACATGCTGTGTCATGTTCCTGCTCAGGCTGGGCGGAGGGAGGAGCCACTCTAAGCTTACTGAATGCAGATGGGGTGGAGCCAGAGCTAAAGATGGGGCAGTGGGATGAGGGATAGTGAGCGTTAAGAGGGGGGGGGGGGGGGGGGGGGGAGGGGTTCTATTGGGGTGGGGGCGGGGGAATTAAGAATCCCACAAAAGTTTTTGGAAGTCAGTCATTTAGGCGATGAAAACTTAATATGGAGGCTGTTTATATCATATCTCCTGCTGGAGGCTAACATGCAACTGAATAATCATCTTACTCAAAATGCAAATGTCAACAGACAGACAGAAATGACCGCCACATGGCAGTTTCAAGCAGATACCGTCTAATTCACTTCAACTAGTCCGGTAGTCCTTATATACATCTAGCAGGCTTCTATCCTGTTAACTACTCCCCCGGCTGTGCTCTATGCTCATCATCTCTCCACTAATAATGTCCTTGACTCTGTATTCAAACGCATCTTTCAGCTTAATTTCCTCTTTCTTCCTTCTCCATCCCAAACCCCGGATGTCCTACCTGGTCCAGGAAGCCCTGTCTCCTCAGCTCCCTGCTCTGGGTGTTTTTCGTTGGGTACAGATCTGGGAGAGCTCTCCCCCGGCATGCTTCTCGCTGGCTCTCTTTGGCTCTGACGCAACAATAAACCATGCAGCCGGAAGAGACAAGGTGAACAGGGAGAGTGAGCGAGAGAGTGAGAAAGAAGGAGGAGGGACCTGAATGCTCAGCGACCCAACATCCTCCCCGCAGCACGTGTCTGCCTATGTGTGTGTGTGTGTGTGTGTGTGTGTGTGTGCGTGCGTGCGTGTGAGACAGAAGAGAGACGGACAGGCAAGAGAAAGAGAGATGGGAGTTTTTGCTTGTCTCTCTCTGTGGTGCAACAGTGATGCTGCAGTTGTGGGCGTGTGTTTGTGAGCCACATAATCCAGTTCTACTGAATATATACAGTATGTGTGCACGTAGATTCTGACAGGGAGCTGCAGTATATTTTCCTGATGCCCACATCCGTTTTACCTCCCTCCCTCCTTTCCTTCTTGTCTCTATCTCTCTCAACCACGCTGACTGGATGTTAGGGGATGATGTCAGCAGATTTGCACTGCTCTCAGTGCTGCCCTCAACCTTGAAGGAAAGGACCAGTACTGCAAAAACAAGAGGAACGTTTAAAAATCAGGCAAAGGAGAAGGAAAAAATTTAAGGAAATAAAATAAAACAATGGAAAGAGAATTTAAATGAAACCTAAAAGTATACTGCTAATTATGCCATCTGGCTTCTGCTCTGATAGAGTTTATTACCCAAGGATTAGACAAGGAGTGTTTTTACTCCAGAGGGCAAAGGTATAGCATGGGTCTGCTCTCCATCTCAGTCACCTCTCCTCTCCTACATGTTCTTGTAGGGAAGGAAATATAGATTGAGAGAGAGAGAGAGAGAAGGGGGCGCAGGACTTTGTCAAATAATCAGTTTCCATGGCAATTTAAAACTACCCAGCTCAGACGTGCTGCATACAGGATCATGTTTATTAGCCTCCTTGCAACCACAACATCACTTTATATAAAAGTACCATTTAAGTGATGAGTTGAGGAACAATAAAGCACCATTGCTTTGAAAGGGAGATTGGCTGTACTGGCTCAGATTTGGTGACCCAACAGAGATGAGATGCGGGCTGGAAGTGTTTTCTGGCATCAGTCTAATCCCAGTCTTAAACCCCAAATATTGAGATAAACCATCACGTAATCAGATCGAATTTATCAGAAAAAACATGTTTTTTTCTCTACATTCTTTTCTTCTCCTCTAGCTTCAGACTATTATTAGGCTCCCTCTCAGTTAAACTCTTTCTCCTCTTTCCTGCCTCTTGCATTTGTCAGTCTTCTTCCTTCTGCCATTTAACAGCCTCTTAACCCATTAAAACCAATGATTAGTATATCTGAATTTCACAACCAAAATTCAACAGAAAGACATGAACCTTGTATAAATGTATGTCATTTGTTAATTTGTTATGTTAGCAAAGCTGTGAAAATATTCTTTGACGATTTAATATACATTTGCTAAGAATATTTATCTCACGAACCAGTGGCCAGAGATCAGATGTGCGATCAGCTGTCATGTGAGATTATTCATATACTATCTGAATATCACACCAAATACAGTCGACTATAGATGCAATAGCGGACAGACAAAATAAGTAAAATGGCAATAAAACAATTTATTCCATTACAGGATCACACACACACACACACTGATTATTAAGTGATTCCAATCTATTCACATAACAAGCATGATGTTGTGGCCAAAATTATACAAATGGCTTAGCTGCTTCCGTTAGACATCAAGTCACACCCAAAAGCAAAGACTCAGTCGTTGTCGATCATATCATTTCTACATAAGGACGCTCTTTTGCGTTCATTTCTGTCTCTCTCTGGCTCCAAAAGCCTTGCTCGCCATAACCATGGAAACAGGGAAAGCCCCACACGTTGCCAAGGAAACCAGAGTGTAAATATTTTTTCCTGACAAGTATGAAAGCTTTTTCTGCAATGCTGCTTCTCTCTGAGTGTGAATGTGGGTGTGTGTATTCCCCATGTGGTCCCATTTGACGGGGAAAGCTCTGATTCAGCTGTGTCTGCAACACCGATTGGTTCACTTGGCCATGTCCTCGGCCACGGCCTTCCCCATCTTATCCTTCAGGTACGCCAACTTGTGCCATTCTGTCTTCAGCTCAAGCCACTCGTAATATGGCACCTGAAAGAGGAACAAAATGAAAGATTTGAAAACATTCCTTTTCAGAGCTACTAAGCTTCTCATTATCGGTACGTGCTTAAGAAAAAAACACATTTACAGAAACATTGAAGAATGTTGGTTTTTAGTCTCAGTTGCACTGCGGTTGCCTTGTTTCTTTTGCAGCAATGCAAACCTGAGGAGGCAAGTACTGGCGAAGGAGTTTGTCCTGGATGAGAGCGAGCGTTTGCTTTGGCCTTGATGAGACAGAGCTGCAGCAGCAGCAGCTCTATTTATACCACAGCCCACCGTACTACTTGCTCTCCCAAGGTACCGGTCCATTGTCCGCATCGCCTTAGACTGTCAGATAGTGTGGCTTGTTTGCCTCCCTTCTCTGCAATATGTCTTACTATCACAGCAAAGATAAGATCAAATAATCCCTTATTAGTCCCGCAGCGGTGGCTAAAACAAGAATCCTCGAGGATTGAAATGAAGTATTTTATAGCTTCACAGGTTTCAAGTCTATTAAACACACCAGGAAATTTGTAATGCAATTAATGAGTGTAATGTAAGTTGATCTGCCGAACAAGCAGCTCAGCACACCCTATGCTCGCGAAGTAGACTTAATAACCTGTTCACCGTTAAAAAACAAAAGACTGCCACAGAGACGGGTTAAACCTCCTGCCTCTACCTACCTCCACTGTGATGAAACCAGCCAACCGGAGATGTCGTTTCATCATGGCAAACCGTCCCAGAAGGTCTTTACTCTTTGAGCCAAAGTTTGAAAAGTCCCAGGCTAAGAAAGCAAGTCTAAAAACAGGTGGAGAACGATGAAAGCAAGGACGAAAGAAAATAACTTCAGACAGCTAGAGAAAAAGACGCAACTTCAGAAAAGCATAAATAAATCTTTTAACAACCAAGGCCTGTAGGATTCTCGTCTTTGACTCACCGATGTGCCCCTACAGGTAAAGCCTGGTCTCCTCCTCCACTGGGAAGGTGGGGGGCTCTCAGCATCAACATGTCAACTGGTTTGTTGTCACAATCCACCACCATCTCACCATCTGATTGGAGAAAGACATGTCAGTCGTTTAATATCTCTGAATGTTCATCCTTCACTCCTACAGAGAACTTTTAATTAATTTTAATCTTTTAAAGCTCCGGTTAACAGAGGAACTGGCAGCACATTGTGTATGTGATCTCAAGGTGTTTCCTGTGTGGGCTTCTTACCAATAGTCCATCCGTAAACAGTGCCAACGCCAGTGCGAAGGGCCTCTGTCTTCCCACCGACCAGACTATGTAAACTCCCTCTGAGACTGCTCTGCAGGGGAGAGAGGTGGGAGCTCTTGACTGGAACAGACAGGGCCTCCAGGGAGAAGGGAGTATCTAAGGAACACTGGTGCTCGAAGTGGAGTGTAGCAGCAACATGGAGGAGCTTCAGCTGATAATTCTCCACCCGAGCTGGACTGCCCACTACGGACAGAAAAAGACGACAGAAATAGAATCCGTGGTGCCAGAACATAACATTTTTTTTTTTTTAAAGAATGTTTTAGTTATCAGGCTTTGGATCTGGAAGAATTGTGTCTTACCGGCCAGTTTGGTAACGTGATTCTGTTGCAGGAGGGGGCTGAGGTAATGGGGCTTGGTCTGCTGCAGCACACATAAAGCCCAAACCACATCCGTCTGTAAGAAGGGCTCCAGCCCAGAGAGAGAGCCCTCCAGCACATAGTGAACCTGTGGCACATACCAAGAATACGGTTAAAAAGGCGGGAAGTAGAAGCCACCACGTGCAATCAACACAAAGCCTATCTAATATACATTATTACCTTGCTAAAGAACTCTTCTCCTTTGCTGGGCTGGAAGCTCAGTCTGGCAAAGGTCATGAGCAGATTACAAAGCTGAAGGGCGCTGTACTTCTGATGGTTTTCAGTGAAGTGCTGGTGAGACAACGTACGGAGAGTGTTACACAGTGAGCGACACAATTTGTATTCAAATACGGAGCACTTGTGAGCAAAATGAACTAAATTAAGAGTTAGCGATGATCAAACTGACCTCAGCAAAGGCCTCAAAGAGCGGGATGTGGAGCCATTTAAGGAAGCCCAGTGATTTAGCACAGCGCGTGACGTCGGCGGAGCTGACCTCAGGGACTCTGGGTAACAACTCGGAGGCCATTCGCTGAAATACCTGAGAGTGGTGGAAATTTAACTTCCCTATGGAAAGAGCAATGACAAAGTTAGTAGGGTTAGAATTATAAAATGTATTACTGAGCAGACAGCGCTTTAACGTCTTCTGATTTGCACCAGACATTAAGCGGTTTAATAATGATAATTTGGCCCAGTAGTCCAGCATTGGAATAGTTAAGCTTTATAGTTGACAGATTAGATGTTTTCATATTTATTCCATTTCTCTGCACTGCACTTATCTGCGTTCTGATGCCATACCAGCTATAAAACATCTTTAACAAAGGCACAGAAAGCCAAAGCCAAACCAAAAAATGACAGATGTGGCAACAAAGGCAGGAATGTACACTGTAGTAAATCGGTTGATGCCTTCCTTCTGTATTAATACGTAACAATCAGTGTTATTACCGTAAGCAAAAGCCATGTCCAGTATGAGAGGAGTGGGGAACTCCGACGATGACTTTTGGAGAAGGTGGTAGGACAAAGCTCTGAGCAGCGGGACCGATCTGCGGCCCTGAGCTGCCAAAGACACACAGGTTTTGCGGATCTCCTCTGCTGAAAAGCCCTCTGCAAGCTCCAAAGCCTGTAATAGAGACAGATAGTATTGCTAGATGTGTTTTGAGATTTAGTGCCAGTGACCTTCATTTGCATGATCCCTTAGATTTAGGGTAAACTTATGTAGTTCATAGGTGTACAAATCTGCTACTTCCCCAAGAAAGTGATTCAAACTGGACGCTCTAGACGGTGCTTACTCATCGCTAACCATATAATTGGTATGTTTTTCAATCAATATGCTTACATTGTATACCATAAAATGCATGTGATATATGCTTTCATGACGGTACAACATCATTTTCCAGTTCCTTCTTAAAAGGGAAAACACTTGCAAGCGTTTAGAGACTGCAATTATTTTTCTGGTTCCTAAAAAAACTGGTGTAGTACTGTGTATACAGTTAAGGCACGGTTCACTTGTTTAACCAAAGAATTAACATGCAAACGGATGTTTGTTTTTTACTTTGATACCTTGTCTTCGAGTCGGTCTATCAAGGTAGGTGACATTCGTTGTCCATTCGAAATCAATGCACTGACAGTTTTAGCATCAGCAATTTCAGTCCAACGCAGTTCCAGCTGTTTTAATGCAGCATTCACTATTGCCACATCCTGCTGTGCTTTCCTGCTTGCTCCCCAATCTGCCAGATAGCCCAACTGCTTGTAGGTTAGCCTGCGGACTCGCCAGAGAACCTCAGTCTGGACAGAATTGAGTACTGAATCGGTGGGGGGCAAACCGATGATCCACAAAGCTCGCAGGAGGGCCACTAGATTGCCATTCCACACCGCAGACACCTGCAAGAAAACCACACACAGACACGAGGAAGCAATTTTAACAGGATAGACGAGGGCCTTAGGGAGGGATAAGTCGTCAGTGACTTCCTTACCTGCCGGGATATCATATTCATCATATCCAGTATCCTTGGATCGCTCATCAGTTCTGCCTTTTCTTCCTTAAACTTGCCCTTTGTCCTCAGCACCGCCACGGTCCACTTCATCAGGGCGTTGGCGGCTTGATTTCCATTCTTTCCATGCTTCTCCCAGGCCAACAGGATGTCCTCCGGCACCACCGCCTTGTCCAACAGCTCGTCCAGCTGGGTCTGCGTAGGCATTGTTGGAAACTGGTCTTCCTTGTTAATTGTCCTTCCCTCGCACATTGACCTTTCTGTGACCCGTGGCCAGCCCTGAGCCCTCTTTACGCCTGCACACCCAGCTACGGGCGGAGGCAGGCGGGCTGCACCGGCTGACGTCTTGGAGGCGACCCTGGAGAGCAGACGGGCATATCTGCCCAAAAGGCGGCTGGCCATCGGGTCTGAGGGACAAGGGGGCGGCCACGGGAGGGAAGGAAAGCGATGGATTCTTACAATTCAGCAGCCGACATCACCATCTTACGCCAAACCTACGGGGCAGTGGAGACTTGTTAAGCCACGAGCTACCGGGTCTAAGGGTTATCTCAACAATGAGCAGATTCTTTATTTCTTCAATTTAATAAAAGCCACAAATGCATACTGTGAAATATCCACCTTTATGTTAACCAAACCATCGTTAGTTGGCCAGGTCTTATTAAGCACTAGCGGTGTAATGTTACCAGCAAGTAAACCGTCACGGTTCACGATGGCATCAATCTAGCTAGGTTGGGATTAGTTATGTCTGTTTCAATAACTTTGATAGTAAGGACATCCCACGCGTTAAGGTGTGGTGTTAGCGGAAGCGGCAGTCTGGGGAGTGAATGTTGCTTCTGTCATGTAACGTTAACGTTGAATCCTGACCTTGTCGCTAAAACCAAGAGACGCTGTGAGACACCGCTGGCCGGCAGCGCTTCATTCATCATAAAACTGAGCATTAATAGGACAGGAGGAAGTAACTGTCTTTATTTCCTCATCGTAAGACCGTCAGCTTTCATATTGAAGAATGACTTACCTGTAATTAACGATTACAGAAAGCTGTTCACATGGAGCTATCTGTCAGATGGAGTCGCGCGGAGATGACGTCACGGAGAGACGTCACGTGACGCAACTGTAATTGGCCACAAACCAAATACTTCAGCGACTCAAACTACGACTCCTTGAGAGTGAAATCGACTGCGCCAACAGCTCGAATAATATCTATATGGTATACGTGATGTAACGTCAGCAAGTGTTAAAAAAACTCTTATTGGACAGCAATTTTACTGTTTATTTTTTGGAGTATCTAAGAATTCGCACCGCATATAAACATATTTAAAAACAGTTCTAGCTCCATAAATACTATTTTCTGCATTTCCTTTAACATTGCTTTGATTAAATATCCACTGTCACTCTACCGTACTAACAGTATTGACTCTTTTAAACACAGCTTATCTAACCTGGCTCTTATTTACCCAGCATGCAGTATGTTCTTGGCAGGAACAGTTAAGGGACAGGGTGACCTCCATTTTACTAACCTCTCTTCATCACTGGATTCTACCATTTATTAGCATTCAAAGTGATGGATTCTTAAAAAGAGTTGTGTTCCCATTTCGTGAAATGATTCACCTTAATATCTAGTATTACACACGTAGAGGTTAAAACAGGCTGCAGAGGATTATCTAGTATCATCTGCAGCCTGTTTTAACCTCTACGTGTAACTATGATTCTGAAAGAAGTTCTTGATATTTGCCTCTGCTGACGCATTTGGGATATAATGACCCTCAGCAAGGCACAGGTTACCGCTTAAACGGACTTAAATGTCAACGACAGCATGACTCAGAATTTAGTTGTGGAACTGTATGTCACTCTAAATTCCAATCTGTAGACACGAATAATAAACGAGGTGAACACACCTGCAGAGAGGAGTCTAATAATCAAATGTAATGGACAGAAGTAGCGTGTGGTCATCAGAGTACACACATAGCCAGTTACTGCAGCACTCAGCCAGTAGGGGGCCGAGTGGACATGCTCACACCATTGACATGCTCCTGCCATTGACTTGCCTCCGCGGTCGACGCTACCTCTTTAACCCTGCTGACGAGCTGGAATTGGCATTATGTGTGACTGCAGATTAACTACATCTACCGGCTATTTCCTTCCTTCGTATTTGCTTTTGTGGCGCCACTGACTGTCAGTCCTGGTTGCGGCCCAGGTGTCGGACACTGGATTGTGCGTGTTGGTTTTGTCTCTTGTCATAGTACGCAGTTACGTATGTGGCAGCCGGAAACACGGCTCATTTTTCCCTCTAGTAATGCCAGTAAAGTCAAATGCTTACTATATCACAGCACATGTAACGTCTAGTGGAACATTAATTGTTAATTGAGCCAGTTTAATGTCAGGTTCACTGGTAGGAGTGACATTGGTCCATGTTAACCTTCACTGGTCCTTTCCTCTTCACACCAATCAGTTTATCAGGAAAAGAAACGTGCAGAGAGTAGATAAGAGATACCAGCATAGCTTGATATGAGTGTATTTGTGTATAGCGTTGTGTGTGACCTCCCTAGGGGTGACATTGTTGCTACCTGAAGTACCATGTTACGCATGTAGACGTCTTGAAACGCGTGTTTAATCATCTCGGTGTGTATGTGTTCAAAGGTATTTGTGCGCATGTCTCTGAAAAAGGGGAGTTGTTGCGCATAAAAGGTTTTTTTCCCAGATATTCAGTTCTGTTTCTGAACATTGTTGTATGAGTGCGAGAGGGAGAGAACCAGGCAGTGTGTTTGGGACTGGACCCTAGTTGCCAAAATTCCGGGGGCCAAGAAGAAGGATCGAGTGGTCTGGACCTCCATTGATTTAGGAGAGCAGTCCCCTAACACACCTGCAACCATGACTAAAAAGGTAAGACTCGTTCATTGTTTGGTAGATGGGATACTTTGAGACGTAGAGTTTGGTTGAAGTTGTTCTTTCTATCACTAAGCGAATGCTGGTGAACCACTCGATGAATCCAGTCACACACATGTGTATGCATGTAAACACTCTGCCAATCACCATCTGCCTTTAGGACACGTATGACATGTTCGAGATGAATGGAGATACGGACAAGAAGAAGAATAAAAAGATGAAAAAGAAGGAAAAAATGGAGGGCATGAAAAAAGAAATTGATATTGTAAGTAAAGTGGAGATATTTCGTATTAACCCTTCATTAACAAGCATCAAGTTACAAACATCCTGCTGAAGAAATGACCTTGATTAACTCTTATTTACCCTCTAAACATTGCGGCTTCTCTGAATGATTGTTCCGTCTCATCCTGCAGGACGACCATGAGATTACAATTGAAGAACTAGAATCGAGGTACAACACTAATGTTACAAAGGTAAGACACTTAATGACGTTCTTTCTTTAATGGGTGCCTTTCTTTTGCACACGCCTTTTTTCTCTTTCACCCCTCATTCAAAATCCCTCGGTGAAGGCCCATTAGTTATAAAGATAATGATTTTTCCAAAGTTTGTACTTTTTCTAACCAATCTAGCGCATTATTCTTAATCCGTTTTCTGTTGTCCATTCACAGGGTTTGACCTCCACCTTTGCCGCACAAGTGTTGGAGAGAGACGGTCCGAACGAACTGAAGCCCCCCAAAGGAACTCCAGAGTATGTGAAGTTCGCCAGGCAACTGGCTGGAGGGCTGCAGTGTCTGATGTGGGTCGCAGCTGTCATCTGCTTCATCGCCTTTGGAATTGAATTTGCGAGAGGGAACGTCGCCTCCTTTGACAATGTATGTTGTATGTCTATTTGACGTTTTTATGCTTTGGTGGGGGAAAAAAACAACCAAAAAATGCATTTTGGGCTTAAGCCGAAAGGAATGGAAACTATATTTCTGTGGTAATATGATAATATCTTCTTTCCCTCTTCAGCTTTACTTGGCTATCACTCTCATTGCCGTCGTTGTGGTAACTGGTTGCTTTGGTTACTACCAAGAATTCAAGAGTACCAACATCATTGCCAGCTTCAAGAATCTGGTGCCTCAGGTGAGTCGCATGCAACCAATTTTAAAAAATGCAGTTGCATGTCTGCACACTAGTCTTGTTTTTTTCATATCACTTTTTTGTTTTCCTCTCCCAATATCCCCAAACAGCAAGCCATTGTCATCCGCGATGGCCAGAAAAACCAGATCAACGCCCGGCAGTTGGTGGTGGGGGATGTGGTGGAAATCAAAGGAGGAGACAGAGTCCCTGCTGACATTCGCATCATCTCTAGTCAGGCCTGCAAGGTAGATCACACGCACACTTTAATTTATAACATCACTAAGCATTAATCATACGTGCATTGAAGCAATCTCTGACTCCTGTTTGGTTCACATGAATGACTTTTTATATTTTGCTAAAGTTGGTTTGCTAGTATTTGAAATACTAATTTCCACCCTTTAATTACAGCACCTGAGTAAGCTGACCAGTGTAATGAAGTAACTTTTTATAAAGATAATATACTGATACAAGGCCAATTGGGCTATTTGTTGTGTCTGAGCACGACGCAGATGGAGATCAAATCACTGTTGTAAATAGTGCCATTTCTGTTGGAACAGTCCTTCCCCATTAAACCATGTAGACATGTAATGATCTGTGTGTGAATATACTGTGTGTGCCAGGTGGACAACTCGTCTTTGACAGGCGAGTCTGAGCCACAGACCAGGAGTCCAGAATGTACACATGAGAATCCGCTGGAGACTAGAAATGTTGCTTTCTTTTCTACTACTTGTCTGGAAGGTACATTACATACTCTACTTTATTTACAATCCCTGGACTAGATATGATCTGTTTAGTCCACTTTTATCATTTTTTTTTATCCAACTCAAGAATACCTTCTCCTTTCAGGTATAGCTACTGGCATGATCATCAGCACTGGTGATCGCACAATCATTGGTCGAATTGCCAGCTTGGCGAGTGGCGTCGGCAACGAAAAGACACCCATTGCCATAGAGATCGAACATTTTGTCGACATCATCGCCGGTCTTGCAATCCTTTTCGGGTTCACCTTCTTCGTGGTTGCCATGTTCATCGGATATCAATTCCTCGAAGCCATGATCTTCTTCATGGCTATCGTGGTGGCTTATGTGCCGGAGGGGCTGCTTGCTACAGTTACTGTGAGTCACCTCAACAATTGTTGCATGTTGTCTTGTGTCCATTATTTCCATCATCCTGAATCTATGAAAGCTCATTTCTGAGCGATGGCACCAGTGCAAAGCCTGCGTATTAGTGAATATAAGCTAATGGGATGTTGTTGATTTAGTTAATCACATATGCTGCGTGCTCTGTACCAACCTGACGCCTTGTTAACAGGTTTGTCTGTCTCTGACTGCTAAACGGCTTGCCAGGAAGAACTGCGTAGTGAAGAACCTGGAGGCTGTGGAGACATTGGGTTCGCTTGCCTACACACCAGACATGTTGTGTTTCTAACAGTTCTGTTGAGTTCAAGGACATTGTGCAGAGTACAGAGTTGGAAATATGTTTGATTTCTATTAAGTTATTACAACGTGCATGTACAGTACCAGTCAAAAATGTGGTCACATTTTCTCATTCAATTCAATGCGAAGGTGTGTCCAAACTTTTGACTTATACTGTGTGTACATTGTACACGTGTAACACTTGTGTCTTCAGGCTCGACTTCCGTGATCTGTTCTGATAAGACGGGTACGCTCACCCAGAACAGGATGACTGTAGCTCACCTTTGGTTCGACAACCACATCCACGCTGCTGACACCACTGAAGATCAGTCAGGTAAACACAGGAACACGGATCCATCCATCCATCCATTGTGGCCAGGGTTATAATGCCAATATAATATAGGGGATGAATGGTCTTTTTCAGTAGGTAATGTAATATTTTGGTTTGATGATGTGTGTTTTTCCAGGGCAGAGTTTTGATCAGTCATCAGAAACCTGGCGTTCACTGGCGAGGATCGCTACGCTGTGCAACAGAGCGACGTTCAGACCTGATCAAGAAGACGTACCTGTTCCTAAGGTACGAGTACAGTTTTCATTTGTTGTCAACATCCACGTGAGATGAGAAAATACCTCATCTTTCTCTGCTTTAATTGTTCATTCGTTATTCAATTCATTCAAAGAAAAAGGTGTGTTTGATTACGTCTCTTCGCGTCTCGCACAGAGGCTGGTGGTGGGAGACGCATCAGAGACGGCTCTGCTGAAGTTCACCGAGCTCACCGTGGGGAACGTCATGGACTACCGCAACCGCTTCAAGAAAGCGGTGGAGCTGCCCTTCAACTCCACCAACAAGTTCCAGGTGAGTGTGGGACTCCTTACGGATTACTGCATTATAAACCAGATTAGTGGGCTAAGCGTTTTTTTCATATGTTATCATTGTAATTTCCTTTTTTGACGATGCAATACTAGTGTTCTGTAATCCTCTGATTTACGGTGGATCTAGGTGCTCTGATCAATTTAAATGTAGCTCCTATCAACCATTTCTCTCTCTCCCTCTCTCTCTCTCTCTCTCTCTCTCTCTCTCTCTCTCCAGCTATCTATTCATGAACTGGAAGATCCTCTGGACCTACGCTACCTGTTGGTGATGAAAGGGGCACCAGAACGTATCTTGGAGCGCTGCTCCACCATCTTGATAAAAGGCCAGGAGCTTCCTCTGGATGAACAGTGGAGTGAAGCCTTTCAGACGGCCTATATGGACCTGGGAGGACTGGGAGAGAGAGTACTGGGTGAGGGAGTGCTGCCTATGACCCATAAAGCAATTAGACATGTGATCAAAACTTGACTTTATGTTTACAAAAATGTACAATATGAAATGATAATACAGTACTATACTATAATTAGCTGTGGCTTTCCTTTTTCCCCCCTGCTAGGTTTCTGTCATCTCCATCTAAGTGAGAAGGAATATCCTCGTGGCTCTCAATTTGACCCTGACGAGATGAATTTCCCCACGTCAGGATTGTGCTTTGCTGGCCTCATCTCTATGATTGACCCCCCAAGAGCCACTGTACCTGATGCAGTGATGAAATGTCGTACCGCTGGCATCAGGGTGTGTCCACATTGCCGCACATAGGTTTTTACATACGGCTACTTTATTTTTATTTTTTTCTAAATATGAGATACTGCTTTTTGAAAAATGTCTCTTCAGGTCATCATGGTAACCGGGGACCATCCGATTACGGCAAGGGCAATAGCAGCTAACGTTGGGATCATCACAGAAGGCAGTGAAACAGTGGAAGACATTGCGGAGAGAAAGCGTATTCCTGTTGAACAAGTAAACAAGAGGTATCGGCACAACTGCTGGCGACAATTTATACAATGTTCATCCACATACCAAGTACCAATCCATTGCAGTATAATGTTTATTTCTCACTGCGTGATCACATCCTACGTCCTCGTCTTATCACACTCATTTCTCTGCACTGCGGTGTCCGAACAAATGTTCCTTTTGTCTATTTACTTTGTGTGACTGTTGCTGTGCTTTGTGTCTGCAGGGACGCCCGTGCTTGCGTGATCAGTGGTGGTCAGCTGAAAGACATGAGCAGTGAGGACCTGGATGACGCACTGCGAAACCATCCTGAGATGGTATTTGCTAGAACATCTCCTCAGCAGAAACTGATTATTGTGGAGAGTTGTCAACGTTTGGTAAATACGCACAAAACACACACACATCTCATACCTGTATCCTCTTAATCCTATGACGTGAATGTACATTTATTTCAGAAGAGTGTGTATGATCAGACCACATTTTCCGGCTCAGATGGCTTTATTTCTCCCCCCAACAGGGCTCTATTGTTGCAGTGACGGGTGACGGTGTCAATGACTCGCCGGCTCTTAAGAAGGCTGATATCGGTGTCGCCATGGGGATCGCGGGATCTGACGCTGCCAAGAACGCTGCAGACATGATCCTGTTGGACGACAACTTTGCTTCTATTGTCACTGGAGTGGAGCAGGGTGAGACTGTGGGCTTTGACATCACAATCTTAACTCAAGGTTCACAGTCTGGCACATGAACTACGCGTCTGTTCATGGAGGTTTCGGTCATTTTAGATATTAATAAATCTGTAAGTAAGTAAAACAAGTAAATAGTTTTAATAGATTGCCATTTACTACAATGCCCTAAAACTCAAAAGAGAACTGTATTATAAAAAGTTATCACATTATTCTAGTGGGTACTATATGCACTTTAACTAAGTAAAAAAATATACTGATTAGTGACTTGTTTATCTATGTTGAGTTTATTGAACCAATTGATTGAGTTGAAGTTTGTATAAATATGTCTGTGTGTGTGTGTGTGTGTGTGTGTGTGTGTGTGTGTGTGTGTGTGTGTGTGTGTGTGTGTGTGTGTTTAGGCCGTCTCATCTTTGACAACTTGAAGAAGTCTATTGCCTACACGCTAACCAAGAACATTCCTGAGCTGACTCCATATCTGATCTACATCACTGTCAGTGTGCCTCTTCCTCTGGGCTGCATCACTATTCTCTTCATCGAACTGGCAACTGACATTGTGAGTTATTGGGATTAGATCCGCAAGAAAGCACATTACTTCACGGCACTGGCTATTTCCTTTTTTCCCCCAAAGATGATCATTGTCTAATGTTTGATTTGCGTTTCATTGAGATGATTCTTGGACAGCTACTCATCGTACCCTTTTATAAGGACTGATTTGGCGACCTTGATAGTAAATGTGCTCGTGTTGCTCCTTTACAGTTCCCCTCCGTCTCTCTGGCTTACGAGAAAGCAGAGAGTGACATCATGCACCTGAAGCCCAGGAACCCTCGTTGTCATCGTCTGGTAAACGAAGCCCTGGCTGTGTACTCCTACTTTCAGATAGGTGAGACTGTGTGAGTCTGCGCTGGTCAACACAACATGCACCCCGGATCTATTACTGTATTGACCTCTACGTTGAACCAAATGTTTGTGTCTTTGAGCCACGTCCCCTAATAGAGCAAGATTATACACTGCTGAGATAGTATGGACAATCTTTAAATTTCTTGTTTATCTTGTTTTCAGGAGCCATTCAGTCTTTTGCAGGTTTTACAGATTATTTTGCAGCCATGGCCCAGGAGGGCTGGTTCCCACTCTTGTGTGTCGGCCTGCGCTCTAAGTGGGAGAATGCTCATCTTCAAGACGTACAGGACAGCTATGGACAAGAATGGGTTCGTCTACACTTTTTCTGTCACATGTCTGGATCCTGAGGTGTTTGTTAGTTCAAGAGAATAGTGTAATTTTTAACAGTAATCTCCTCCCTTATGACCCCTGCTCACAGACCTTCAGTCAGAGGTTGTACCAGGAGTATACGTGCTACACCGTCTTTTTTGTCAGCATAGAGATCTGTCAGATCTCAGACGTGCTGATCAGGAAAACTCGACGTCTCTCGGTGTTCCAGCAAGGCTTTTTCAGGTCAGTGAAGAAGAGCCATCGCTAACTTATTCAAGTGCCAGCGTTGTCTGTGTGACGGGAACAAGAGTTATGCTGCATCCACAGTTATTAACACAATGAGGAGAACTCGCCATTGTTCCAACTTCAGACTGTTGAGGCATCGTTCCGTTATTCCAATGTGGTTATTTTGTTTCTTTCCGTGCAGGAACCGTGTCCTGGTTTCTGCCATAGTCTTCCAGCTCCTTCTGGGTAATCTGCTTTGTTACTGCCCTGGAATGCCCAATATCTTCAACTTCATGCCAATCAGGTAAAGGCACACGGAGGTGACCATCTGAAATCCAGGCTCAGAATGGAGTAGAAGAAATAGTACAAACTTTAATGGAAACATGAATATGAAGCCTGTAGAAAGTTATTTAGCATAACAAGAGCTGTGGCATGTGGTCTAATGATCCATATGTTGTTTTCTCACCAGAGTCCAGTGGTGGTTTATTCCTGTTCCATATGGTATTTTGATCTTTGTTTATGATGAGATCAGGAAATTAGGAGTCCGAAGATATCCAGGAAGTAAGCACAGATTCTGAAACATCCATTCACCGATCACAATTTTACATCTCTACACATATTCAGTATTTATTAATTCATGGATTGTCTTCTTTTAGGTTGGTGGGATCAGGAATTATACTACTGAAACCACTGCGACTTTCTGTCGTTCGTCAAACAACAGAATACTGAAAACCCAGAAGTCTTTTCCCTATTCACCATACATCAACATGATCTATGTATTTATGGCTTAAATTATCTTTTAATATTACCATTACATGGAAATTTGAGGCTCTGGCAAATAAGTAACACGGTAATAATGAATGAAAGTGATTGATCATTTACACAGATGTATAGTGTTGCAGCTCTTTGACTGTGGTTGCACTTTATTTGTTCTAATAAAACATTTTAAGGCCGGTGTTGATCTCAAATCGATAACAAAAGTGGTGCTTTGTCTTTTTTTACAATTTTGTATTGATCCATGTATGTGTGTGTGTGTTTTTTAAAGTTGTACATTTACACAAGTCAAAGTTGGTGCCGGATCATTGTGAAATTCTTAATCCATCAATATAATCATGTCACAACCATGGAGCCACAGCCGGTTTCAACACATTCCGAAATACAACTTTAACAATGAGGCTGCCTCTGAAAACATAGCATCACACACAAAACAGCAGTACATGATGAGAGCTGAAAATGCAATTTATTACCAAAGATCGAAGATTGATGGTTTAAATATTGTACTGCTGTTGACATCTTGACAAAATCCATTTTTTAAACAACATACTTAAGGCACAGACTTCACCTTTTTTGTTGTTTTCAAGAAAAAAAAGACCTTCCTGGTCCAGGACTAAACCAAATCTCTTGCACATACTGTGTTTTTGTTGAAGGGCTCTCTCTTCCATAAAAGTCTCAACAATACAACAAGCTCCGGTTAATATTGTGCGTATTTAATAACCAGTAGAAAAACAATTTTAATATGGCCACAAATGATAGAGAGAATCATTTTCCTGTCTCTTCTACCTCCCACAGCATGAACTTGTTGTCCCAGTGAAATGCTCAAAAAACTATGATTTAACACGTCTATATATACTCACAAGTACCTTCATGCTACTTCTTCTCTCTCTTTCTACACAATGGCTTCCTCCACCTCTACTCGACTTTCCAGATGGCGATCTTGCCATCTCTGCTTGCAGAGCCACTGAGGACGTATCGGTCCTCAGCAGAGCAAAGTGTCTGGATGCTGTCTGAATGGGCCTGCAGCTCCTTGACCACCGCGTGGCTTTCTGTGTCCAGCACCAGCACCGGACCTCCCAGCTGCCCGGCACTCTGACCCTCGGAACCGTCCCGGCCCCGACAGCCCACCCAGATCTGAGGGTAGGAGCATCGGGGGGCATCGAGAGGAGGTAGGTAGGGTTTAGGTGGGGGGGTATATACAATAGGTGCACAGGCAGAAAATGGTGTTAGAGTTACACAAACTCATAACCACTTAAGGAATTATAAGTAAAAGCAGCTATAGTTTGAATTATTCATAATGTGTTTGTAATCCTTAAATATCCCATTAAACCGTAGCAAAACGAAAGTGTTCAACACCCATTACATATTTAAACAAGTTAGTACTCGTATGTTAGTCACCTGGTCCTTCACTCGGATCATGCAGGTGACTCCGGAGCTGCCAGGCAGGGGGATTCTCTTAGATGGCCGCCTGTGATTGTCAGTGTGCCAGAGACACAACTCCCCTGAGTCTGCACAGCCCGTCCACAATTGACCTCGCTGCTCAGAACAATGCGAAGAGCCAAAAGGGTTTTAACGCAAACAAACATGTATGGCAGCCGAATGAATATGTAAGAATTGCTGAGTATTGAAAATTCACCTCGGGGACGATGATGAAGCTGCTGAAGCTGCTTGAAATACTCGGTACGTCATCGGGAAATGCCATTCTTCTTTGTGGAGTCCCACTCTTTTTCAGTTCCACGATGCAGTCTCCACAGCCTGCACACAGACAGGAACCTTTCAGAAAGCCATTATCAGGTTCTGCTGGTAGGATGCATTTCGAAAGTAATGTGTGGACGCTATCGGCCGAGTGCAGGCGTGTTTGGATGTAGGTCTCGTAGATGCCATGCAGTTCACACTATGAAATGAGGATAACTACATTGGCAAAGAAGAAAATGAAAAGCCTCCCTGACAGACAGAGTTGGGTGCATTCAGCCAATGAGCAGCAAAGAGGCTTTCAGTGGAGAATAAAAGATGCTACAGGAGTTTGTCATTCAAGTGGTGTGAAATACTTTATGCATGAAGGCAAATGGGTTGACTCACGGCACCACAGTGTCCCATCGTAGATCCCAATGGAGGACAGGCGGTCACAGCTGAGGTGGAGTTGTCGCTTCACTTTGAGACTGGCCGTGTCCCACTGCAGAATCGTCCCATCACAGCTGCAGGAGTATGCCCGCTGACTGGGAAAGGGAGTTTGGCTCATTCTTTCACTTTTGTTTTCACGCAACGAATCAATTTAAAGAAGCTTTTTAAATAATATTTCACCAGATAAAATTGATATCTTTACGAGAGGTCATCCAATCTCTACCTGTTGTGTTGATCTCTGGGGTCCAATGTGAGTCCAGTCACTTCATGTCTGTGCTCCGTCAGCTGTTTGTTGCACGACATGCTTTGAGTGTCAATGATGTAGATTACTGAGTCCTGAGAGCCGATCCACACTTGCTCACATACCAATCCCAGCATGCAGTTCTACTGGGAGGAGATGCAACATGTTTACTGTGTTCGCAATCATTTTTAACTTTGACACCATAATGCAGCTGCCCACTCAAAGCATGTACAGTTGCATGCGGTATACATTTAATTGGGTCCTTGAACTTTGACTCTCTTGCTCATATATCCAGATCACCAGCTTTCTTTCTCATTGAAGTTGTATCCCCCAATAACTTTAAACAGAATTTCATTTGTAAAGTTTATGGAGTTCTTTTGGAAATGAATGTTGCTTCCAGTGAGTACAGCACGTCTGCTCTCACCAGCTGTGACGCGCCGACCTGGATGCAGTCCTGCTGCATGGACCAGCTGGCTGCGTCAAACACCACCACTTTGCCCCCAGTGAGAGCCACCCACAGCTTTGGGTTCCTCTCGATCTTTGAGTCATTGCCAGTCAGCTGACCTGGAGTGAGCCAGAAAGAGACAAAGGTGAGAGAGCTGAATGCATGCAGGGCGGTTTAGTTTGTAGGGACACCACTACTGTTAAAATGGAAAATAGTATCAGTATTTTACATTTGATTTATAAATTTGTCTTGAGTGGTCGTAAACACATTTACATATTATAGAATAACAATGTTAGTTAGTACCTGGTGTGTATAGCAGCACTTGCACAGTCTGCGGTTCAGCCAGGTCCAGCGATGGGTTGATCTTGTGTTTTAGAGTCTCTGAGGTAGTTTTAGGCACCATCAAGGGCACTGGTCAGAGAGAAAATTAATTTATAAACTATACAGAAATAATAAATTCAAGCTAAAAGGAGCAGTTCAATTAGTTGCTCTACATACAATTTATCCATCAACTTCTTTTGACAATCCATGAATTATTTCTTTCACAAAAGCAAAAATTGTTCAATGTTGTTTGAGGCGGTGTCATTTTCTGCACCATTTTCTTCCATTTTATTGAACAAATCCAATCAATTCTATGAAGGATAATGGAAATCAAGATTTGAATCAGCATGTATCTAAGCAAAGTAATGCTATTTAGAAGCAGTACAAGAATGAGCTCAGACCTTCATGTTTGATTTTATCAAAGTAGGCCAACTTCGAGGCGGCATCGATGGACCTCTGTGTCCGTAAGCAGCGTGTGACCGCATCCATTAACAGGACGTTGGTTAGAGCCTCAGTCATGTACTGAGGGTCCTGAAGAGACAGTTAATTAACCATATGTTGACAAAACGTTAGTATTAACACAAATAATGTGCTTTAAAAATAAAAAAACACGTTGGGCCTCATTCACCAAATGTTCTCAAGAACAAATTTGTGCTTAATCCCAATTTACGCAGTTTTTACGTCATTCTAAGACCTGCGAACAATTCCACTGTTTAGGAGCACGTCATGAATCACACGTGGACTTTTCTTAGGAGCTTTTTGAAGAACAAATGTAAAAAACAACTTAAAAGCAATATTGGTGAATGAGGCCCAGTGAATTTTGACCCACTTTGTCAAAAAATAACTGAATCACTGTTTTTATTTCAATTGTCAGTAGCAGTGAAAAATGGCCTCCACAAATATTCGCTTTTCATTCATTTACTCTCAATGAAGTCGCAGGTCAGACTTTGCCATTGTATACATTTGACCATGGGAATCTTCCCAGTGGGTCAATGAACGGTTTCTTTATGGATCCCGGAGTGTTCATTATTCCAGAGGTGGGCCATCGATCCTCGTACCTTGTGCCGGTCGGCCATCTTGCGTCCGGCCCACATCTCTCGCACGACGAGGTTCCAGAGTTCGGTCTCTGTCTTCAGATTGGCCTCAAACACCTCAACCCTCCCAGAGGTCTTGATGTGGAGTGAAGGAATACGAAGAAGTAGAAAGGAAGCTGATGCAATCTTCACCTCCTGCACAAATATCGGGAAGTTGTTTATTGAAATAGGAGAGCGGGATTGAATGAAGTACCCAGAGATAACATGATTCTAGAGAAAGTTACACTTGACCTGTATGTCTCTGAACTTTGTGATTTCCAGGAAGCCCTGTGGTCCGACAGTAAGTAAGATGAGACGTTTCTGAGTCATGGCAATTTTACCAACGCCAAGGGAGGTCTTGACACACGACGACAACTTGTACACACACTCGCTATTGTCAAGATGGTCTACGACCTCAGAGGGCAAGTCGAAGTCTTGTGCCTCGGCTTCCGTCTCTTTCCACAAGGTGTAGAAGACCCGAAACAGTTCGGGGACGACCTGCCTTGGCTGTCCTGGGACGGAGATGCAAGCACACATTCAAACATTTTCAACAACAAAGAGGCCTTGAGGGGGAGAGCGACATCTGCAATTTCAAGCTTAACACGCACATTAAACCTCTCACTCAAACTGATTAAGTTAGTTACACATTTGACCACAGCCGTGTCAGAATAGTGCATTTTATTGTTCTTCATGTGTTACTAAATGGCCTTCTGGATTCCACAGAGCGGTCAAAACAGAATCCTACACGTCAATTACAATTTTCATACAAAAAATATTGATACTGCTGCTTTAATGGACTCTAATCTGAAAACTGTTCTAGAAATCTTCAATAAGTTCAAGTATAATACACATTATAAAATAATATAGTGCATCTATGTTGACTTTGGTTGAACATTTTTTGCATTGAAACGTGATAAGGTTTTGTGTGTGTGGGAGCACAAGGGAGCGTGCTGTAGAGACTCTGCTTCACGCCCACAGAGAGTTAAATGAGAGCAACAGATCATCTGCCTGATGACACCATGTCGACAACAAGTGATGTAATCGATTCAAAAGGATTTCATGTACTGCTTGAAAAAAAATAATGTGCGAGCGTCACTTTCAAGTCCACCATCAAAGGATTGTGAAAAATGCATTAGAAACACAACGCCTTCAAGATTCCTCCAATCATCCACCGTGGACTTGGATCTGAATCGGCACCAGTGATGGGTTTGACTTTTTAGTACTTTGCCTTAACTGCTGGTTACAAAATACTCACTCAGATATCCGATACCAAAAGCACTAAACCACACGCATGCACACAGAAACACACACACGCACCATCCTGCCTGTCCCGACTCACCATCTGTTAGAGCATCAAATAAACGATGTATGGTTGCTACGTCCTTAACAATGCCGCACTCCTGAACGCAACGCACAAACTCTTCCTGATGCAGATGCTTTTGGGGAAGCTTGAATTTCTTGACGTGGTCATCAGGCTGCACCGACAGCTTCTCATTCTCTGTCCTCACCTGACAGGGGAGAATCAAAAGGCAAAATCGCATGCATCGTCACCACGTCGCTGCCAAATCGAGGCCGACTTATAAAATCGCCACGCGTTTTGTTGAGTTTGCATCCATCCACCACATCCAACTGACTTTGAGTATGAATCTCTTGAGCTCCGGTTGCCTGTCGGCTTGCAGTCTCTCCTCCCGGTGCAGAGAGTCCACGAGCCATGTGACCAGCTGTGTGGGGAAGATGGCGGTGTCGGTCCTGTAAAGGTTCTGGAAGTCGCCGAGAGCGTCCAGCCGCCGCCAACACAATGTGCTAATGAAACCACGCAGGTAGTAGAATCTGCAGAGACAGGAGACAGAACTGATGAGGGAAAGGATAACAACGTCAAACAAGGGCCTCAAGGACAACAAAAGCACAATACCTGGCCAGCAGCGCGGGGTTCTCGTGTTGGACAGAGAAGATGGCTTTGCCGAGCAGCCCGATCAGCTCACTGTAATAACTTTGGACAGAATGGAAGGACAGAGCGGCTGGGAAATCTGGGAGCTTAAACAGTGTTGCCGGTTTAGGAGGATTCCTCGGCGCTAGGACACAAAGAGGTAGGGAGAAAATGTAAGGAGAAGAAGGAGAGCAGAGAAACTTTTGATCTTTGCCAGACATTATATCTATCTGGAAGGTTTGTGCCTCCGTCGATGTCCCACCGTGGTCAGACGCAATGATCCTCGACTGCGCTGAATTTCTCTTGAAGCTGGTAGTCGTGTCGTCTTCGAGGTTCGGGAGGCTCATCCCCCGTCTCGTGCTCACCTGGATCCCCGGAGTAGAGCTCTTTCTCCGGTCTTGAATCTCCTGCATGGTGGGTCTGCGTGGGGCCTCAACCATAGCTTTCATCCTGAACAACACATGAGAAACACAACGCCCGGCTACTACTGAATCTGGCCCCAACAACTGGATTGACATGTATTCTCAGTATACTGATGTTGTTTGAGACTTTTTTTAAAGGTGTTTAAGAACTTACCTCTGCATCTCAGAACGAGTGCTGTGTTCCAATCGAGCAAAATCGTCAATTTTCTTGTTGAGCCGATCCTTGAGGAAGAAATGGAAGATGTGCGTTTCCAACACCTGCAACACAGCCGTGTCAATTCGAAGATGAGCACCTCGCCATTCAAGTTACATGTAAATTCATATATATATATATATTTAAATATACATTTAGTGAGTGTGTACCTGTTTGTAAAACAGCTGTTCAGATGGCTCTCTGCTTTTCAAGAACGCTTCACTGTTAAACACTCGATGTTCGTAGTTTAGGTGACTGCTAACATCCCTGTTATAAACACGCACATGTATGAATTGACAAACTGTATTTTTTAGTGGAAAGGCGGGTTGGATCTCAGACGGAGCACAAGCTGAACCTGAATATGTTGACCATCAGTTCCAGTGCGATCCTCTGGATGTCGCGGTTCAGATTGTGTTGCCACGCTCTTCTTTTGGCCCTCTGCTCCGTGACGTCAGTGCAACTCGCGCGGTGGCATTCATACAGGTCAAAATGAATCTGCAGTGTCTGACACCTGCAAAAACACATTCATGCTGTATAAAGTAATAAAACATGTATAAACATATTCATGTACAGGTTTGAGAAGCGGATCAGTAAAGCTCGCATGTCTGACGAGTGATCTTTTTACTACTTGCAGAAATGAGAAAAGAGTTGCATCATTCTGGGCACCTCTGTGTGAAGCAGTCTGCGGCAGCCGAAGGGATCCCTGGCAGGTCCAGCGTCTCAGAACAGGAAGTGGAGACACTTCCATTATCAATGTTGATCAGGACCAGATCATCTGTTTCCTGGAAGGAGGAAGATTGAGAATAAAATAAAAAAATCTCTTGTACCCTCTTGTACTTGTAATTACAAGAAAACAAAAAGACTCAAATGAAATAAAACGTTTTCACCTAGAATCACCTAGAATCGTGACTGCACTTTATGTTTAATATTTTTTAACTTTTTAAATACTTTAAATTTTTAACTTTAACTTTTCTCTTTCTATTCTCTTGTTTTATACTAACCCATAGCCTTATTCTACTAACCCATTGCATTAGCATTTCATTTTATTTTATTACTTGTGCACTGCTGTCTTGTTGTCTATTGTTACACTGTCTACTGTCACGCACCAACCGCCAAGACAAATTCCTTGTATGTTTGACATATTTTGGCAATAAATGTTTCCTGATTCCTGATTCCTGACTAAAAGTTTCTAAAATTGTTAAATCTGCTGTAGATCCTCCTTCATTTTAAATGTATTGCCTCTTAAAATCCAAGCAGTCCATTAGGATTTTTGTGTACTCACAGTAGCAACTTCTTTGAAGTGGCTGAGATGGCATCCCATGAGGAAGGCTGTGGGGGCCATGACGAAGTCCAGCATGCTTCTGGCCAGGACAGGGACGTATGGCTGCTGCCATGACAAAGGCTGGACATGAAACATCAGTATCACAGTATGAAATGTGTCCTTTTTCATAATTGGGATTTAGTTTCAACATCCAACGATACATTCATGCAAAAGGTTTTTTTACATTCCTCAATCTCAGCAGGAGGTTCCTCGTTTCTACTACGGCAGCTCTACTGTTCACCCACGAGCCACAGAGCCGCGAGCTCCCTCAAAACAGTCGGACCAACTCAACAAAATGGTTATGAGATCATAGTTGTATCATAGATGAGTTTTGAATATATTAATTCAGTAGAAATTCTAGGGAGAGACTGTTCTCCTCCCCCACCTTGTAGCCTTAGCAGACACCTATTTTTCAACGGACCTGCAGAAAAAGTAAGAAGCTCTCCGCCACCAGCGTGAGTGTGGCCCAATCAGCAGAGAACAACACCACCCGCTGCTCCTGCAGGAGACAAGAAAGCCCCTACAGAGACGGGGAGCCCAGATACAGACACAGATAGTTAATCTTCCTCGCGGTTCACGCGCATCAATTCAACAGAGGTTTTTGACGTTGTAGTACCTGTAGTAGCTGCTGTGGCCTGAAACTGAAGAAGGGCAGATGCAGGTCTAAATCTATAGTTGGATGGTCCTTGTCTTCTCTGGATGGTAACACAATGGTCAGAGGACACAAGGTAAACGTCTGCAAAAAACAAACACGGTGTTACAGGTTGTTTTCTTCTGTGGTCGGTCCACAGGGTTCGTACACGCTCACCACCAATATGAACCTGATTGATCCTGACTCATCATATTATGAACGTTAACACTTTCAGGAACACTTTTACCACATTGCACACACACACACACACACACACCAAATGTAGTTGTCCAGGTGGGGGGACAGGCACCAGCGCCAGTTTGGTTGCAAACTCCTTCACTCTCTTCTCCATGTCAGATAATGGGCAAGTTCTTAGCTGGATTGACAGACTGACGAAGGACAGACAGACACAGACAGCAAGATGGTGATTTGTTTTATCCGGTGCAGCTGAACCGATTGAATTTGTTGTTTTTTAACACCGTTTCTCACCATGAAAGACAGTCTTTGAGTGCAGTGAAGTAAGGATACTTGGATATGACACAGAAACTGTAGGCAGAGAAAAGTCTAGGAAACTTTAAAGATGCAGCCCCGTTCTTCAAGACAGACGTCCCTTCCTGTATAAATACAGGAAAGACAGTAAATTGTGTGGGCATTATTGAAACCAGGGTCTTTTTCTGGGTCTTAAATACATTTTTATTTGCATCATATCAGAGATTGATTTTAGCAGTAAATTATAGTGCTGTGAAGTACAACATGAGTACCAGTATTGGTCGGTAACATTGCATTACTACTCCGTGGGTTTTGTTGCCAACGACATCGGTGAAAACCAGGAAGTGGAATTGTTCATCTTTCTGTTCGTTGGTCACTTGAAGCCCACCTAGAAAACAATAAAACACACAACATAGGCATGATATAGTACAGTTACACATATAAAATTAAATCCATTTTCCACTGCTGTATGCCTGAACAATGGTGCAAGTTAAAAAATAAAATATCTCAATTGTGTGTAGGAAATACCTGGGAAGCAGAGCTGAGGTAGAGCCATGAGGTCAATGTCTTTAGGAACACTGAGGTCTTCACTTCCGCACGCTGAAATAATACAAAAGTAAATCAGGCAAATATCTGATCCTAATGATAACAAGGGTGAAATTAGGCCGACGACAAATCACAAAACTAAAGGGGAACAAAATGTTGGAGGCAGAAGTTTTTTATCTGAAAACTGAAGCCGGTTGCTGAGCAAGATGTGGATGGAAAGTACCAACAAACAGACAGCACACCTTGGATGGAAGTTGCTACAGCTGATGGAGGTTGTTCCCTTTTCCTCCAGAGAAAAGAGCGCCGCCTCCTCGCATGTGATCTCACTGCTTCAATCTCAGCTGGCGATCTGCTAACGAAGGGAGGCGCCAGGACATGCAGCACCTCCGGCTCCACCAGGAGGTGCTCTGGAGATCCATTTATGTTAATGGCCTAAGAGAGGGACGGCAATTATCTCATCGTAATTAGCTTTTCATCTACAGCACACATATTATACATGAATTCATGTGGCTTATTTAATTGAAGAGAGAAGGACATGCTGATTAATTGATCCCACTTCAATATTTGTGTTGCGTTTTCTCTCCCTTGCTCATTGCACAATTACTCAACGCCAAAGACGGTCTTCTTTGCAGAGTAGAAAAAAAATAATCGGCAAATTAAAATCTAGAGACAATTTTGCCTTCTTTTTTAAACATTCTTTAGGGGGCATATTTTTCTCATTATTAGATACGGGGAGGAAGCCTGAAAGAGAGAGTTTTGAATCCAGACAACTGGTACCGTTTGATTGACTTTCCTAGTTAATGTAATAAAAGCATTTAAACATGGATATGCTCATCATACTGAAGAATCAAAACGAGCAAAACGTAACCTCCTGGTATAAAAAACATTCAAACAATGAAATGATTGAGGCTCTAAACACAAGTTATTCCCTCAATGACTACAACGGCACTAACAGTTTTCAGTTTACAGCCACGTGTGTGTATGATTTGCATTTGGAGGCGAGTACCTGGTAGACTTCTTGGAGTTTGTCGCTAGATGCTCCAAGGACCACACATGCTTCCAGCAGAACAGGAGGCGAATGGTCGGCCATCACTGGCACCAGCCCAGGATCCGGTTGGACCAGCAGAACGGGGTCAACTCAGACCTGCTGGGTCCCAACGACTGACAGAAACCAGGAGGAGCAGAGAGGGCAGTCGGACAGAGGAGGGGAAGAAAACGTGTTTTCTCATTTGCATGGGGGGAAAAAAATGCACGTATCGGCTAAATAAAGTCACATGACTGCTTGTTTTCCAACTCGGCATAAACGCCGCTGTTCTCATCAACAACAACTTCTAAAGGCTAAGTCACATTTTTCAGAGAAACAGTTCCTCTGTTATTACCGCGAAGAATCAGAGTTGAATTTGATTTGATCACATCAGATTAAACGATGCAATAATCTAATTTTCTAATCATGTTATAAGAATGTGGTCCACCGCTTTATTGAACATTTTTTAATACAGAAAAAGGACTGATTTAATGAAAGCAATTGATTTATATCCACAATTCAAATAAAGTGTCCTTAAAACTCAGCAGCAAAGTGTATTAACTGCAACATTTTCCCGGATCGTCTCACAATCCAGTGAAATACTTTAACTGAATCATAACCCATGATATTTGACAATTTAGTACACTGTGGTATTGGATTCCTGTGTGAATCAGTCTTTGGAACAAAATATAGTGTGCAGAGCAGAATAGGAAGATGCACACGCAAAGGCAGAGAAAATGAATGAGCCGTGCTTATAACATTTTAATATCATCATATGTGCATATACATGTTTTTATCCTTATTTTAATGTTGAAGTTTTATTGGAATAGTTTCATCTTTGTAATTATTGGAATTGAATGATAACTAATCAAAGAATTCCAAGCATACCTGAAGTGCTGAATCATCCCTGCAGCGTTAGTGAAGGCGCACCAGCTGGCCTGCTGCTGATCATAATTCATATGATCCTGGATACACGGGGCACATTCCACATTAAGCCGTGACGACACAGTAACCGTGTCACGTCTGCTTATATGACACAAACTCACAACAGATACAAAGTTTTTACGTCTACATTCTTTTTATCAGCTGCGAATCAAATCCAGAAAACTCAATCAAACAAGGTACTTATCTGGTGGTCATGAACAGTGGCTAATCTATTATAATGCATACAAATTTTATTATCATTATTGTTATTTAGAGGGCATGGTATCAAAAAAGTACAGAACAGGAAAACCGTTGAGTGATCCTGCTGTGAGCTGAATGACCCCTTCAGGCTGCAGCAGGTCTTTACTGCGAGGCCTTTATGGGCCGAAGGAACACAGTGTGTATGATGTGACACACTATTCTGTAGTCACCTTTATACACCTACAACTATACAACCAATGCAAGATACACTTTTAGCACGGACGTTAGAATTCATCAAAGTCTTACAACATACATTTACAATTAGGACTGTTTTATTGCGTCTGAGACTCGTGACACTGCGTCACAAGCTGCACGGATCAGATGATGTTTCCATTCTGTCGCCAACGACATTTTAAACTCTTTTAAAGTCTTTAAAAGTTACGCCTTCTTCTTCCAGGTCACCAACCTCCTCACCGGCTCCTCGCTGATCCTCCTTCAGGTCCAATGACGGCACCCGCAGCTATGACATTGTAGCATTGATGATTTGGTGAAGCACAAAGCCTCATCATACAGAGCCTTCGTTTGTAGATTGAAACTATTTGATTACATTTAGTAAATTATTATATAGCGTATAACGTTTCTCTTAAGCCACCAGAAGGAACTGTATAGGTTTCTTTAGAATACTAAAAAGTGTGTAAATCAAGTTTATATAAAACTTGTTGTCTGCGTATTTCCACTTGCGTGGCACAGCAGCGAGCTTTAATACTCATGTACTTTAATGCAAGTCCCCATCCGTATTTCCAGAAAAAAAAATTATATATATATATATAAAAAAATTATATATATATATATATATATATATATATATATAATTTTTTTTATATATATACATATATAATGTAATGTCAATGTTTACTTCCTGTCAAGTGATACTGAGGGTCGTCGTGGCGCAGGGGTTGGAGAAGGTGTGCTGGGAAGCACAAGGTTGGTGGTTCGATTTCAGGCTGCCCCATGTTCTATGTCGAAGTGTCCCTGAGCAAGACACCTAACCCCTAATTGCTCCCCGGGCAAAAATGTGTAAAAGCCATGGGTTTAAAGTGTAATGTAAGTCGCTTTGGATAAAAGCGTCTGCTAAATGACCTGTAATGTAATACCTTGGTCTGTTCATTTTCTCACAGTAAACTGATCCTGTTGTAGTTACTCATACGAGCCTGAAGATAGTGCTAATTGCAAAGTGTAGTTGAGAGGATTTGTCTGTTATTTTATGGATAAAAACACAAATCAATACATTGAATGGGGCTCATTACTTACATTTAAATAATTTAACTCAGTTTTTTGTAATTATTGTAAAATGAGCAAAGACAGTGGTTAATTAAGACAATACATGCACACATTTGAAAATTGTATTTAAAAATAGACACAAGTGAAGATGCAATAATTTCAAATAAAAGAAATCCTTGTTCACATTGTACAAAATACTGTGCAGCAGAAAAAAGAACCAATGATCACTTAAAACACAGCAACAATAGAGAATCATCATAAAGTATTTTTATAAAATCAATACTTTTTCCATTGACAAGGTGCCCAATATCTCATACTGGTTTCTAAAACGTCTTTTAGAAACATTTCAACTGGCTGAAGTATAAAATACTGTAACACAAGGAATCAACACTGGAAGAAAAAATAGGTCTTTGGTCCACCTGCATCTACTCGTGATAAAACTAGTGAAAAAAAATGTATGCGCCAACAGAGCACATCAAGGAATATTCCTTTTCTTTTATTTAATCAGTTATAATGAAAATAAAAGATTTTACAACTACTTCAAATAGCATGGAAACAAGAAATAAAAACATGTAAGTACCCAAACTTCTTTTCAACAGGTGCTCTATAAAAAAAAATGTTTAAACTGGACCATAAAAAGAACTCAATGGCACAAACCTGATGTCTCAAACACAAGTGAAATTACTGTTTTATTATTTGCAAGGAAATTGATGATTAGTTATTTCATCAACATTTTCCCTTTTATATCTGATGCAAGATATCATTATATTCACATCGGGCAAAGTCGATAGGTAGCAAACAGGAAACAAGGTAAAACGTAAAAAGTAAACCCCTTCCCTGCTCTGACACACAAAATCTGTTAAGCGATTTGTTGGAGCTGGACAAACATTTAAAGAGGAAAGTGAACCGTTAGGTCCGGTGTTTCTTTTTAAGATTCACTTGGTCATTACACCTCAGCCAGAAGACATTTAGAGTTTGCATAGATCAGTCGTTGGCCTTGCATAGAAGCGGTTCTCTACCATTCAATGTGCACTTTCCTCATCACAGGACATCAAACCTCCCGAATGAAAGTGGAATACTCATTAGGGCAGCTCTGTGCATTTGCAATTACTCCCATAAACAGTGATGAGGTGCTACTGAAAAATGTACAATCAAGGAGGAGAGACTGAAGCCTGATTGGGTCGTGCACGAGTCGGTTACACTGTGCACTGCACTCTACAGATGTGTTGACACACATCTACATGAAGTTCCTGTGGACTTTGCTGAACATGATCTTGCGTGACGCTTAATGGTCACAATCGCAATGGAAACTGAAGCCTGGCAGTGTGGCAGTGATTTGTCCTTTCGGTCCAGCGACAGCTTTAAGACGCTCAAATGATCAGCGTGGCAAACTCACTCTTCATTAAAAATAAAAACAAATGACACTCTCTACAGCAGTCGAGGTCAGATTTGAGCGAACATGTTAACACCACCATTTACAGTGTTAATTCACAGGAATGGAAAAAAAATCAAACGTCACAAATGTTGCATTGCAACCGGTTGGCCATTTGAATAAAGGCAACATGGATCACAGATCTATCCGAGGACTCGGCTACGGTGCCAAAATGCCGTTTTTTTACAGCTTCTGACAAAATATTTCTTGCTGTAAGAGGAACTGGGATTTTTTTTAACAGAAAAGAAAAAATATAAAGTCACTTGTAACTACATACTAGCTTTCCATGTAACGGATTCAGACGATAGATGTGGATAAAAATGGTGTATGAAATCGCTCTATCTGCAACGAATGTAGAAAACCACGTTTGCCAAAACGTGGCATTTATAACAATATAATAAAAAATACGCATGAATAGAATGGTAAAAAAAATGAACAGTTGTATTAAGTTAACATCTAATAGAGAGGGACACACTCCCACAGCACTAGGATTATTTATCAAGTAGTTAAAGACACCAGCAGCTTCGGTGAAGTAAATTGTCACATATTACGTCATTCTGTTCAGGAGCGAGACAAAGTGCTCTGTGTGCTTCTTTGCGTTTTTACAATAAAGGCTTACATTTGAATCGGTAGTGTGCACTTGGTTAGTTTGAACACTTTGTTTTGTCTCACAAAGTCACTGCCATTTGGCCCTTTGTGTTTAATAGCCTCACTTCATCCATGAAGCCATCTAAACGGTTATTTGTTTTATAGTTGAGGTAGCAACAATAAGACATTTGGTATAATCCACAAAGGTCGTGGTGTGTGCTTAGTGGGAAGAAACCCACAGTTCTTTACACGCTCAGGCGACGGAGTGATTTTCTGTCTTCTTCAAAATATCTCCATATGTGAGGTCACCATTTGGGTCAGAACTTCGAGCTACACCCACCAGGCCCAGGTCCTGCTCTGAGCCGCTCGGCTCCACATCAGGGTAAATGACGAGGAAACAGGCCGTAAGGAAGCCAAGGAAGGAGCCTCCAGAGGCCACTGCAGGAATGACACGCACACTGCCAACTGCGTCCACCACAGCGCCAAGCGCAGATGCAACCAGAATCTGGCTGATGTAGACCTGGAAACAAATATGATATTATGACATACACACACACACATATACATATATATATAATTACACGCATTCGGAAGAATACATCATGTTCCTCACATCCAAAATGAATGTGTGTCTGAATCGGTTCAAAAGGAACAGGAATGTGTCCTGGTTGGGTGCCGCCCATTTCAAAAGCAAAATTTGGGAATTGAGTTCTTACCTGGCAGGTCAAGATAGCGCAGTCAATACCAAAACCTCTTCTAGTGTTTGCTGGACTGTGGTGAATGTACTGAGGAGACGAAGGGAATCAATCAATCACACATCAAACAGATTCCCAGCGTGTACGCTTCCATGATGTACTGTTTAAAGCCTTTAGGGGAAGTAAATAAAGCTACTTTCATGTTGACCCAAGTCCTCAAGTGAGGAGATACCAAACAAATACAATATTAGTGTACACTTTGTAACAGCCTGAACTAATTCAAATGTTGACACATTTTTTGTTGATTGCAAAGCCAAAGTCTATATTATACTACATCGCTACATCTATAAAAGATGTCAGTTTGTTTATTTGCTTGTGTGCCACATACATGCTCCAGTCATGTTTTATTGCATATCGCCAGGCTCGAACCATGTGCATGGATGTGTGTGTACATACCTCTTTGATTTCATGGTACTGCCCTAGTAATGCATACGGACAGTAGGAGATACTCATGGAGATGATGCCCATGCTACTGATCATCACCATGGCAACATAGACATTAGGGAAGATTGCCATTACAGCGGTTCCTAGGGTTAGAAAGATGACCAATCAAAACAATGTCATTCTAAATCCACCACGCTTCACTCCACTGTTGTCTGCTGGTTATTTTATTGTGGAAACTGACCTATTGAGAATCCCAGAGTTCCAAAAATGTAGACAATCTTAATGCTCAGATCAAAATTATCCAGGTACTTCTGAAGGATTGCTGAGTGGAGTGATGGAAAGAGGGTGAAAGAGACATTTTTGTTACTGGAGGAAGCGAAGGGAAGCAGATTAGAGACGTAACACGTACACTTCCATCACGGACCACCTGTTTTCGAATTCAAATCTAATGAAATGGAACATTGTGTTTTACCTGAGCAGAGAGCAGCAGTAGCGGCATAGACCACCAGTCCCCAGCAGCCCATCTGTACTCCTCTGTGATAGTTAAGTAGCTCCGTGGAATTGCTCGCTGCCTGAAAAAGGTTTTATATTTCAGCAATGTACTAGTACACTTCACTTGGCCAATAGATTGAGCAACTGACATTCTGGTGTTCAAATTTGGCATACACATCTGTGAAGTATGCCAGGTAAAGGTAAAGGTTTGCCAAAAATATTCAACACTGAATATTTTGAATTTGCACATTATGCAATTTTATTTTTATTAATTATTTAAAAATCATTATCATGGAGTTATCTCTGTGGGTATTCATATCAAATAATGATGTGTTCTTAAGTCTGTAGAATATGATATGTAGGTCAGGACACTTAGGTCTGCACCACATGTGAGTTTACCTTGGGGTCTCCGTGGTAGATGACTTGCCCCATGAAATCAGTGTAAAATACAGCTTCGGCTATAATGGAGAACCATGTGAGTAGGTGACACACACACAATGTCCACAGCTGCCTTGGCATCTACCGAGGACAGAAAAGACACAAGGAATCAAGACAAGTGAACATGAAACTAATTAATCATAACATTTTAGTTTAGTTGATTACTTCTGCAATAACAGAGCATACAAAGTAGCAAATGTGATTACGTCTCACATTACGTCTCACATTACGCAATGATAAAATAGGATAAAATACATTGATAATAAATGCATTTGCAATTTACCTTCAACATAGACAGCCAGAGCAGTCGAACGGTCGTACCCTCGTCTGATTCGCCCTCACTGCTGGAGCCCTCAGATGACAGACTGCTGGCTGAGAGGTGCAGCTCTCGCCTGTGTGCGTGGCCCTGCAGCTCACTGAGGTCATTCAGACTGCAGGAGCTGGTAATTGGCCGAGATCTCCACTGTGACGTTTTACGCAGTCGATAGCGCTGCGATCCAACTCGTCCGTAGTAGGAGAACGTGAAGGAGGGCTAAAGCGACAAAAAGACCAATTTCAGCATTTGCACATTTGCAAAATGACTAAATCACAATTATTTTTTATAAAAAGTTATTTCAATCAAGGAGCATCCAATCGCACCTGTCTGTAGAAGGTGTGTGGGTGTGGTCGTGGTAAAACTGAGGTGTGCAAGGGGCGGCCTGGCAACACAGCGGAGGATTGGCCGTTGATCGCATTGTAGTGGTCAGAAGAGAAGGCAGCATGAGCAGCGTGAGCAGCGTGAGCAGCATTGACAGGCTTAAACTGCTGGGACATGAGGAAAGACGTACATATTAAAAGGCAAAAAGGGAAACTCAAAATATCTGAAAAATAGTAAAGAAGAACCCAAAAAACACTTGCCATCATAACAGCTGATTTTACCCTGCTTTTCAGATGTGAGTCGCCAGAACCACCGATCTGAAGGAGAGGAACGTCGCTCGTTGCCCCGTCGAGCTGCGGCTCTAAAACCGCCATCCCATCAGAAAGGGCCGGCGGCCCCCCAGAAGGAGACGAGGACCCAACACAGTGGTTGGATGGCCTGAAAGCATCTTCCAGCTCCGCCTCTGTCTCCGGCAGAAAGTGTTGCAACGGTGGAAGGAAACGTTGGGTGTCCGGGTCGAGGTCAGAATCCAACTCGATGGTGGCGTCTGGCATGGCTAAGACCGAATCGCTTTTGCTCCGCACGCGCTCCACGGCAGTGAAGTCCAGCTCTCCTTCCTCGGGGTCCGACTCGCCATCCTCTCCGGACGGGGCTCGAGCTGAAGCCTCCTCCTCTGCAATCACGTCAAGTAACGGTGCTGTGTGGCCAACGGCCCCGAGAGACAACTGGCTGCTGGACTCCCCCCCCGCCCTGTCCCTGAGCTGGTCGGAAGGAGCGAACGGTTGCTCGGGGATACTGAGCATGTGCAGTGTGACGGAGATGATGAAGATGATGCCCGCGAACAAGAAGAGGACCTGCTCCTGCGATTTAAACGCTTGGCCCAGAGCTGTGCCGGTCCAGTCGAGACCCCCCAGCATGTAGCCCACCGCTCCGCCGAGCCCTGGCGTAAAAGATAGCAGACACAGATGCAAAGGTCAGTGGAAAAGCACAAGAAGCCTCTGAAACCTGTGAGTAAAACTCATTTTTTTTAACTCAGACTCTGGTATTTGTACAATGTACCTGCTTATATATGGTTTTAGAATAGCTGTTATACAGTCAGTGTGAACTGTGTGTGTGTGTCCATACAAGCATGTAGTCCTACCAGCAGAGAACGCATGAATATTCAAAGCCATATCTTGCTCGTCGGTGTCAGCAACATCAAGAAGATAAGCTCTGATTGGTCCCTCCGAGGCATCGGCGCTGAAGTCCAACACCACCACCCCTACCACAGTCAGGATGATGCCAATGGGCTGGCTGCCGGGACTGTCACCGACAGAGAGGCCTGAGAGAACACCATGAAACACACACAGATGGGGGTGGAGCTGTGACAGTGAAGTGGTGATCTCTGCTGAAACCTCCCACTCACCTATTAATGATCCGTTTAAGAACAGCGCCACACCGAGCAGCACACCGACACACAGGGCCAGAATGAAGGGTCTTCTCCGGCCCCACCGCAGAGTACAGCGGTCACTGGCTGAGCCAATGACAGGCGTTAGGACGAGACCCAGGATAGGACTGAGGAACCATGTCAAACTGTAATATTGCTCAGGAAGACCTAGAAAGTACACACAAAGAAAATATTTCAACACTTAAATAACAGGTGACACCAGTTTTAATTTCTGTTTTTAGGAAACACTTGAGAGCAAACATTACTTTACCACAGAAGGTACATCTTTCTTATCACATTGGACCAAATTGTTGAATAATAAGCTACATTATTGCAGCAACATGCTGTTTTTTGATAATTCGTCTGATTTCAAAATACCATCTCTTTGAAGACTTGACAGGATTACTTGACAATGACAGCTCATGGAAATAAGAGACAGCGGAGGACCCTTAAACAGGAACGTAAATAGGCAAATATGTTACATGGAGAAAAGGTTCAACCCTTTATTAGTAGTGTTCTAGTTCTTTCTGGCAACATTCAGCACAAAACATGCTTTCCTGCTCTAATATAGTTTGCTTTTTGTGTTCTTCATTCTGATGAATCAAGCTCTGTGGTCTTTTACACTAATTTACTAGAACTTCCCTTCTGGAATCTTAAGCTGTGATAAATATGTGTGACATTTATTAAAAGCCACTACACGGCTGTCTGTCTTCAGTTATAATAGAATAACAACCGTCTCTGCTGGATGACAAAATCTGGATTTTCCACCCCTTATAAAGACGTGGTTTCAGTCAGCTGGCTGGTTCTCACAGGAACAACATGTTACTCATGCTGCCCTGCTTTGCCCCGGTCTTCACTCTCCCCTAAGTCAACAAAACCCCGGATGACTTATTGCAGATGGAAAAATTTTGATTTCTCTCTCTCTCTCTCTCTCTCTCTCGTAAAGAGCACCACATGTCTTGACTTGCACCTGCTGGGATGTTTCACCTCAAGTAGCACTATGAAGCAGTGTTGCGAATGAGTAGGCCTCAGTTATGCTCGTCTCATACATGCGCGGACGTGAAGCCACAAGGAAAAGGCACACGCTCAGGCAAGTGATCCGTTACAAATTCCAGACAGCGGTTTGCTATTATTCTACGGATGGACAGATGGCGTCTGTAAGCCAGGGTGCAGCAATGCTCCGGCAGGGGCAGCGAAGGAGACGACCGCTGGATAATAATAAGCTTTTGTGTTTTCAGTGATGCCGTGTGAGGACAAGCATCCTGATTGCATTACATTTTGTAAAGCCACAGAACTATATGCATGGCTGACAGCAAAGTCACTGTTGAGGTTGTTCAGATTGGACCAGTTTCATTCCATTAATAGATTTTATTGTGCAATTCTCCTAAATGGGACATCTCATTTCACTGTCACATTCAGTTTTTAAGGAAGTTTCCGTTTTCAAAAGAACCTTGTGATGGCTTCCTGTTTGCAGTGTATAACTATTGCTAAAGTCAGGGTTCTTGAGCAGAATTTACAATGAGTTTAATCTGTGTTTGACTAATCTACGAATTGAACTGACATTGCAGTAGCCACGCTACACTGCACACCTACAAAAAGATCTCAAAAACATCGGCAGAATGTTGTTTGCTTGCTTTCTTTCAATATATTGTGAAGAGGCAGTAAAACACAGAGACTAAAATGTGCTATGTTAGACATTCCTGTCATACCAACCCAGGCGAGAATGCCTTTGTTCCATTTCTGCTATAGTGACAAACCTGCCTTGCAACCACAAAGCCCCTGATTGGCTACTTCTGGGCACATACGTTACACGACACATTGGCGAAGACGAGGAAACCAACAGATCCAGTCCGCCTGATGACAGTCAAGCTCCACATTATTGACACTCCAATTTCCTGACACTAACCAGGTGAACACTGGCACAGATATGCCAAAGCGATACCTGACTGGGCCGATAGAACGTGGTTCTGCCCTCGTCCGTGTCTGTGCGTGACGGTAATGTCTCCTTACCTATCTGCAGCAGCACTGGCGTCACCAGGGCGGTTTCCATGGCGTAGCAGAACTCCCGTCCAAACATCACAGCCCCGTGCATTACCCAGCGATGCAGAGGGATCTGCCTAGCCCGGCCCTCTCCTTCGGACTCGCTCCCTCTCCGTTCTCCTTCTTCCTTTAGTCTCACCTTCTCCGGAAGGCCAGACGCCTCCCTCGTCTCCGCATCTCCTTCCATAACAGTCTGCTAATGGGTTTATTTGGTTTGACGGATTGTTTATGCAAACTATTTCCTATATGTACGCAGCAACTGCCCACTATGTTATTGTATGCTGATGCAACATGTGATGTCCAGGGTCTTGATCACTCCCTCCAGATAGATTAATCGGAGAGCATCCCTGCTGGTCGGCAAGTCATTGAGGAGGAAGGAAAGATCATTAATGAAATGAGATCGCTGTGTCCAAAAGTGATGAATTTATTAGCTTAATTATTCCACATATTTAAATTCAGCATGAGTAGAGAAGTCCTGTGTAGCTCCAGAGGTGTGTAGCAGGGAGGTGCACAGGAGAGCAGAGGTGGTGGGAGACGACGGGAGGCAATATTTGCGTTGTGGGATCCAGCAGCTCGGTCTGCCGTGGGACGGGTGAACAAAGGTCTGTGAATGCGTTTGCTGCGGCTGAAGGTCTGTGCCGGAGGTTGAGTGCACGCAGTATTTGAATGGTTTAAGGTCAGAGGGTTGCTTGGCTGAAGTCTGTGTGTGTCTGTGCGTGCATGTAAGCACACTTCCTGGCACGGCGGCTTTAAAGGCGTGTAGAAACTTCTTGGCAAAGACCCACTGAGTGACACATCAACCTGCAGACAACAGATAACAGTTAGATAGTAAGCTAGAGCTAGAAAATATTACACCCGGGCGTCTTGCCTCCGTGTAAACATTCTGTTAGGTGGGGCATGAAAGGACGAGTAACAGAAAGCCCCAGTGTGTTAAAATGTAACTGTTGCATCACGTGATGGCAAACAAAACCCGCTTGAGGTGCACTGACTATCAATTAAGACTCAACATGCTTCTGCACGATACTATGGGTCGTTTAATGATTGAATAGACATCATCTAAGAGACTAAGAGGAACAAAGACCGAAGCAAGTGTGCCGCACCTTAGCTATCAGATTACTAGAAAGGTTTGATTCATTAGAGGCGCGAGGAAAAGCAGCGTTAAAGGAAATCTGCCCCCCTGTTACGTCACCAACAGATGTTCGGTCACGAACATGTTCACGTTGACACACAATAAACACGGTTAAATACGCGTCGCACGGACGCGAAACACTCGTTCCTTTGTCGAGCTTTTTACTGTCTGCGCGAAGTGAGGAGTCAACAAGTGCTTAACTTGCACGAATCCCTTCTTAAACCTTTGGCCACGTTCAGCTCGCGGGCATCTCCGCTGTCCGCATCACGTGCACTATTTACCTGAGCCACCCACCGACCTCCTCTGCTGTCCACGTAATCGGTTACCGGCATAATTAACGTTAGGTTCGTACGAGGTGTTGCGCGTCTGGGCGGCGCACGTGGACAACAGCAAGATAACTGTTACATCACCGTGGACATATAACGTTAAATGTTAACTTTGCATTGACAGAAGTTTAGCTTGTGGCTAACGTTACCATAGCGAGCTAGGTTGGCTAATACATTAGTAAGGCACGTTGGCAGGTTAAGACCCGTAAACAAGCAGTGATATCAAAGACAGACGGATGCAACATACCTAAGATTTCACTCCACTTCAGTAAAGCGATAAGCAGTTCCGCGTTACGTCATTTTTTTCGAGAACATCAAATCGGAATTCTTGGTTCGGATTAGCAATCTGGCTAGTTGAGTTACCACTTGCTTCACTACACTCATCAATCTCATTGGTTTCCACAGTAACAAAGCGAGGCGTGGACATTAGGCGACGCACATTACGTCATCAAGCCGCTCACCTACGGTGGGCGGAGAATAACAATTATGATGTTTTACTCACAATCATTATTTGCAAGTCGTTGTTGTACGTTTCAAAGGTCAGATCGTAAGTTCTCAACATACTTGTTCAACCTTCGTACCACCAAGTCTCTTGTACAGATCATAAAATCTGTTTATCATTCGTATGGCCAAACCCGAGAAAAGCTCTAGTAGTGATAAAATACGAATAATATTTAGGATATAGTAATGAATTCATCATTTCAAAACATAATTTATAATTCATCAATTAATTGTTTGCAGTTTTATTTTTCCAAACCTAATCCCTCACAAATAAAAGCAAGACTTATGAGAATGTTTGAAAATGTGAATACAGCCAGAACTTTCTGCAGAACAAGACGTAGAGGTGAGACGTAATTGTAATGTAATAACATTGATGACCTATTCACTAGAACATCAACCCAAAGGTAACAGAAACGTACAAGGTTAGTACATCAAGCCAACAAAAACCTTTAATTTCTGGCCAATATTACTTTATGAGTCAGTTGATATGACATTGTCCTAATGATTGACGATAAAAGAAATGACAAATTGTTCAGTGAGTGAGAGCTTTGGTTTCTTACGGGGTGCTAGTCTTCGAAACGGAGTGCAATGTTGCCCTCTGCTGCATAAAAGTGATTATCCTTCCCAAATATTCCTGCAGTGGATCTTCTGAGGTGGTCACCATGTTGTCCAGGCAAAAACATCTCTCAGCATATCTCCGTGTGGTAAACAGATACAGGTGTGGTCTGTTTTACATTGCTTTGCAATTGTGATGTTCTGCATTTCTGTTCTGGCCAATAGCCAATTATGAAATATTCTCCATTATTACAGAAGTCCCAGATGTCAGTGCTTTTTGCATTGGCAATTGTGCTAACTCACTTTCAGGTGATTTATTTTACGGGTGACATGCAGTATGAAAACTACTTCTACACGGTGCAACAGTTAAGACTGTCCATGTTGTGTTTAACAAAGTAGAAAACATTTCATTCAAAATGAAGTAACATTTGAAAGAACATTTTAGACACTTTGAAAGTCATACAATATAGCTACTGTTACATAAAATATTCTTTTCCATTGTGTCAAGTATAAATATGTATCAATCTTTGGATCCTGTTTTTTTATTTGGTGGCATGGGGAAATCTTCTCACAGTGGAAGAGTCACAGGTGGGGAAGTCTGGGCTTAAAATGCAGATTACATTCTTCTGCTGTCAATGTAGAAATTACATCAAGTAATACAAGTTTTTAGGTTGCTGGATCAGCTGAATTGGTTTGACTCGTATTAATCTTAATATTATTACTATTTATAATTATACTAATACTATATTACTATAAATAAACAACATTCACACAGTGATATTGCCGTACACACTGAAGCTGTTATAACTGGTCCACATGTCACAGAGTCCAGAAATATCACCTTGTCCAGGCAACTCTGACATCACTGTAACTCTCAATTTTCTTCTCTCCATGTGAAAGAGGATTTACAGTGTTTAGTTCTTCCCCGCATTGCCTCTCTGCAATGCAGTGGGCATCTTGGTCATCATGATGGAATTGTTAGTGACGGCATTTGCTGTCCCACCTGAGGCCTTGGAGCTGTGCTGCATGCTGACGATGTCGCCGCTAGTGTGCTCGCGCTCTGCTCGGCGGAAAATGTTTCTCACGGTGGCCTGAGGGGAAAAAAACAAGCTGTAAATTATTCAGCGAATCGATGTGTAAATGACCAAATTAATGAGCGATGGCTGGACAAGTTACACCCGGAGGGAAGGATGGATGGATACAAGGACAGGTGACAGAGAGGAAGGATGCTGAGATGAGTGGGATGAGGTGAGGTGAGGAAGGAAAAGCAGAGTTTTACCTGAAAATTATTTGTAACAAAACAGTAGACGACAGGATCCATACAGCTATTCAGACTGCTGAGAGTGACAGTCAAGTGATAGGCTATCACGTGGTGAGGCATGTCAGGGTGGAAGTATACCACCACCTGCAACATCAAGACAAAAAACCTGTGACATCAAGTTTTTACATTCATCCGAACCTACTCAGCTTGATTATATATGAAAAAGTACTTTTGGGCCTCAGTACATTCTGTGGTGAAGATACTATAGTAGCCGCCACGTAAAATAAAACGCTTCAGACCTGAGCTGGAGTGTTTCAGGCAAAGTTTATGAACATGAGCACGACACTCTTTTAGTGTGGTATTATTAAAGAGTTAAATTCAAATATTGATCTTATTTTCACTCGTTCCTCCCTTTTGTGTAACATCTAATTCTAATACTTATATGCCTTATATGATGTATGATTATTGTTTTATTTTAAAACAAACGTCAACATGTCTCACACTCACCTGTCTGATGTGAAAGGGTGTGAAGCAGACAGTGAATATGATCAGCACGGTGGTCAGCAGCTGGACAGCCCTCCTCCGCCTCTCCCTGATGAAATACACACCAGTTTCACAGCAGTACTGTGACGTTCCTTCAGCCGTGTGCCTGCTCGTGCTTTCAATCAGCGGTAGATTTGATCTCAGTGCATTTTATTATATGATCCCAAGCTTGGGTTCATAAAACACCGTACGTTTTAAGTTCTAAGACCAGACAGGAAATGTCGTGGTATTCTGAACTGTACACTGTGTATTTGTGAGGAAAACGTGGTTTGTACCTGCTCTGCTGCATCAGGCGGCGGTCGGCTAGTGCCCACATAATTCTCAACGTGAAGACCATGATGATGAGGAGGGGCAGAAAGAACTCAGTGATGGTGAGGAAGAGGAGTTTTGAGAGGCAGCAGCCCGGGTGCTGGAACGCAGTGGAGAGGAAGGAGTAGGTGACCACGATGGCAAACAGCCAGACGGAGACACACACACATTTCGCCACACTGGAGTTCCTCCAGCGACGGGACGCTTCAACCTGCAACCACAGGAAATGCGTCGCTTTGAGTTCTTTCTGGTTTTGACGTCTGCACCAGCGGGTTTGTTTAACACCTTCGGAAAACAACATTCTCTTCCTATCCAATTCTGTCCAAACCCACCTGCACGATAGCGAGGTAGCGGTCGACGCATATGCAGGTCAGGAACAAGATGCTGCAGTACATGTTGACGAAGTAGCTGAAGATGTGCAGGTAGGAGCAGGTGAGACAAGCTCCCCCGCTGTAGTACAGCAGGATGCGAGTCGGCAGCGACAGATTCACCAAGAGGTCGGTCACCGCCAGGTTGATGGTGTAGATCACGGAGGTGGTCTTTCGCTTGGTGCGGAAACAGAAGACAAAAAGTGCCACTGTGTTGAGCACCATGCCCACCTGCGGGAGGGGAGAATTTGGAGGTTTGTGCATGTCAAGCCTTGTGAATTTGAGTTTCTAAACTCATATAAGGATGTAGGGAACGTTGACGTCTTTACAGTAAGGAGTGCTTACCAGGAATATCAGAGAATTTATGACCATCAGTGCAAGCCAAAGGCCGTAAAAGTCGTTGTAGAGCCCCTCGTCCAAATGAGCCAGTCTTTGAAGATAGGCCTCCATGCCACTGCTGTTACTGGGACTGGCTATTACAGGCACCATGGGAAATGAAGTATTGATAACAAGCCAGGACTCGGTGTTGTTGAAGTCAATCATAATGGTGACGGGGATGGCGATGATCCAGATTAGTGCAGAAACTGTCAAACAAAACACAAAACGTTGAGCTAAAGTGAACAATTACTTAATATTTTTAGTCAGGGTGCAATTTTATGGAAGGTTTGTACAATTCCCAACTATCCCAGCATACATTGGAGCCACAGGGATACACAGACAGACACATGGAAAATTCATTGCTGTTAGTTTGAAGCCTGTGCAAAGTTATGGGCAAGCATACAGACCACGTCCCCAACGTCCACTCAACCCTACTTAGTGAGGTTGTTGCTGTTGCCGTGACCAAACTGACAAAGCCACTTTAAACAAATATCATATTCATTTACAATCCGTTGATGCTGAAATGTAGTGTTTAAAGTGTTTTTTATTACAGTAACAATGCAGATTTTAAACATCCCTGGAAAAGAACCCTTTTTGTGAAACACAGGCTACAGAGATCTACCCCTTTCTGACCCAGATCTGACCTTTTCATGGCCGTCATAACAGAAGAAGAAATTGCTTCATTTGAATAATTCAGGTCAGATCATATCTGAACCGCAAATAGCAAATGTTCTGCCTGTGTGAATTAATCATGATCTGCAGAGCCTGTTTATTTACCTCATAGAAAGATGGCACATTTTTTTGGTAACTGGTATACACAGAAATGTTTAGTGGAAACTAAATTCTGTCGATGGAAAAGCAAACAGTTATTTCCCAGATATTTTTTTTAGTAATCTTATACTATAAATTGATATTAATTCAGTGGGTGCAACACTGAGACTATTACAACCCTGGAGACACATTTATTGGTGAGAAGGCAAAGGATGAGACATGCACTGATTATACTAACATAACTGTGTATAGAGGTGGAACAAAAGCTGCAATATCTGCAATAACTGGTTATAAGTGCCGAGAACAAGTTAAATGTAGACTTCTTCAAAGGTGAACAAGTAACATATGTCACTGTGAGAAAATGCTCCAGTTTTCTCTTCTTCACTTTTCAGATGTTAAAACAGTGATGATCATCTCTCGCAGTGGAACGGCAAAATGCAACTGTTATAAGACTTTATTTTAATGACACATTTGAGTTAACTATGTGAAAAAAAGATGCAAATATGAATCACAATCTAGCAGACGTGAATATTACAGAC